CAAGCTTTGCTTCTTAAAAATCCATTTCATAAACCCCAATCTAAAAACTTCTCTCAAAATCCACGATCTCTCTGTATCATGAACCATTTCTTACTTATCATAATCATTCTTCTCTTCTGGCGATTGAATTATATCTTCTTCTGATCAAGTTTTGATTTTTTTTGTTTCTGTATGCAACACAAATTCGAAGGTGAGTTATTCAATAAGTCACAGTTTATGGGTTTTAGAGTAAAGGAATCAACTTAAATTTCGTTGAAATTCGATTTCTTGTAGCTTAGATCCTTCTTACCCTCTCTCGAAATTAGGGTTAGTCTTACATTTAGAAAAGAATTTTGGGTCTGTTGGGTCCAAAGACATTCCTCCTGACTTGGTGTGAAATGAGCTTCGTGACGAGTAAAGTCTGATCCTTTGAATCTAAAGATCGAAATTCGAATAAGATCAAACCAAGGGAAACACTGAAATTGATTTCTTTCATTGTCTAAGAACGATTACTCTGCTAAGTGTTAAGTACTGGGGAAAAGCTTTACCTTTGCAGATTAGTTGTTTGATAAAATGCTCCAATGAACTCAGATGGTATTGATGTTCTGTTCTGGTTGAGTACATGATCAGTGTTTTCTTTATGTCCTGCAGTGGAGAAGTCTCGGTGTTTTAGCTTCTTCTCGACAATGAAGTGTTTCATGTTCTCTAGTGGGGACAAGAAAGAAGAACAAAGGACCCCTCAGGCGGTTTCATTGACCTCTAACTTCTCTGACCGCGACATAAACCGAAGCGGGTCAGATTTTAACTCTCGGGATGTCTCTGGGACAAGCACGGAATCATCCATGGGGAGGAAGAGCTCGTACCCTACTATGTCCACTCGAGCAAGTAATCTCAGAGAGTTCAGCGTTACTGATCTCAAGTCTGCAACAAAGAACTTTAGCCGATCTGTTATGATTGGAGAAGGCGGTTTCGGTTGTGTCTACAGGGGAACAGTGAGGAACTTAGACGATCCGTCAATTAAAATCGAAGTCGCGGTTAAGCAGCTTGGTAAAAGAGGGTTGCAGGCAAGTATCTTTTTCCAGTCTTGTTCGCAAGATTTGTCAGTTTTTTACCGGGCTAACTCGATTATCTCATTTCTTGGATTTTGCAGGGGCATAAGGAGTGGGTTACGGAAGTGAACTTTCTTGGGGTGGTTGAGCATCCAAACTTGGTGAAATTGCTTGGTTATTGTGCCGAAGATGATGAACGTGGGATCCAACGGCTTTTGGTTTATGAATACATGCCTAACCGAAGCGTTGAATCCCACTTATCCCCTCGGTCACTCACAGTCCTTACTTGGGACCTCAGATTGAGAATCGCCCAAGATGCAGCTCGCGGCTTAACATACCTGCACGAAGAAATGGAATTTCAGGTAATGTCATGACTCTGCTACGCTATGGCTTGAATTGATCTCATCTTTCTCTCTTTAATGACTTTGATCTATTATTTTTATAGATCATATTCCGCGATTTCAAGTCCTCGAACATTCTTTTGGATGAGGACTGGAAAGCAAAGCTCTCGGATTTTGGTCTAGCTCGTTTAGGTCCATCTGAAGGACTAACCCATGTTTCTACTGATGTAAATTCTTCATTTCACTTATTTTCAGTCGCAGTATTTTTGATAAACAACGCGTTACAACGGGGTTTGTTTGGCTTTATTAGGTTGTAGGTACAATGGGTTATGCAGCACCTGAATACATTCAAACTGGACGTCTCACAGCGAAAAGCGATGTGTGGGGTTTTGGAGTGTTCATCTATGAGCTCATCACAGGGAGGCGACCTGTAGACAGAAACAAACCCAAGGGGGAGCAGAAGCTTCTAGACTGGGTGAGACCTTATCTATCAGACACAAGGAAGTTCAAACTCATACTAGACCCGAGGCTGGAAGGGAACTATCCGATCAAATCGGTTCAAAAGCTAGCAGTTGTGGCCAACAGATGTTTGGTTAGGAACTCAAAGGCACGTCCTAAGATGAGTGAAGTGTTAGAGATGGTGAACAAAATTGTGGACGCTTCTTCAGGGAGCGGTACTAGTCCACAGCTAATTCCACAGAAGAGTCTACAAGCTTCTAGAGACGCGGGAGGGAAGAACAAGAGGGTTTTGGAGACGAGAAACAATGGTGGCGTCAACGAAGGAGGTTGGTTTGGAAAGTTATGGAACCCAAAGACAATAAGAGCTTGTTGATTGCTCAAAATTCAACCTCTTACACACAAGAAAAAGACTCAAGAAATGCTTCATGGAGATTGGAAAGCTTGAAGATTTTGGCGAGATCAAGCTCATATACATATATCTACATATGATGATTGTGAAAGATTCTAAATGATATAGTTTGATGTTTGTATAATTGTAACCACGGCTGAATTACTTAGATATGTATATAGGCAAAAATGGCTTTATCAGAGTTTTTTTCCAAAGCTGTTCAGTTTTTGGCACAAAAATATTCTTGATTACGTGTGTATTTGTGCTAAGTATATAATTAGCATGTCTTAAGTCTTAAGTCTTAACGGAGGCAGTAACAAAAAGAAAAGAATAATGGTTTTTAAGGTGAGGAGACTACCAAAGGAGAGGACTACTGAAATTTGGGAGAAGTTGTTGGAAATAGAATATTATTCCCATTGGTAGGAAAATGCTCTTTATTGTTTGTGTTGTTACTTGTTAGGTATTCATTGTTATGTAGAAAAAAGCTTATTATAAAACACAAGTATTAGGTATTGTTCCATATATATTTTCAAAAGTTTTCACCTTCTTTGTTACATTCCCTCAAACATGTTTTTATGAAAATAAATTTTTGATTCAATTCATTTTTCCATAACAATCACAAAGACTTTTGACATTTGTAACATAATGAATATTAGTTTTGGTAAAGAGGAAGCCAATGAAGAAAAAAAGTAAAATTTTGGTTTTATGCATAAAAGAGTAATTGACAAAAAAATGAGAATAGGGAGTTGTTACTCACAGAACACAATTAGGGTATAGGTTTGGAAAACATATAAACAGTAGGGGTCGTTTTGATATAATAAGAAGATTGG